GCTCAGAGAGTGACAAGCTCTCCCTGCCAGCTGCTCCTTGAGGCCTTACCTCTCCTCTGCTTTGTCCAGTGGTGCAGGCTGGCTGTCAGGTCATCTTTCTGTTTCCCAAGTTAAACTGCATTCCTTGTACCCGGCTTTATGAGAGCTGGTGTTTTTGGTGTGAGTTCCTTCCAGAACACAACCACCACATCTCTGCCACTGTTACTTAGAGATAGGTGTCAGGAAGTGGCTCAGGCCCGGAGCAGAGAGAGATCTGTTCTGGAAGGGAAGAACAAAATGCAGCTTAGCTCTTCTACCCTGATCCCTCCCTGGGCACGTGGGCTTGACTCTCAACAACCTTGGGAGCCTGTGGAGGGTGTGCAGACCCAGGATTCAGCTTTGGAAGCTTCCTCAGCCTGCTGTCTTGGAGAGGATGGATGGGGTTCCTTGGTGTAAGCGGGAGACAAGGGAAGCCGTGCAGAGGTGGCACAGCCCCAGCCCTGGGACCACTAGGGTACAGAGACCCCACTTAGGCTGTGTGTCAAGACTGTGGAGGTTGGCAAGTGGCCGGTGAGGCTGACGTGTAGATCCTGTCCTCATCCAACCTAACGACGGTTGCTTCATAGATGCTACATCTTTCCTGACAGGAAGAGGCGCCCTACGCTGCCCCATGTGCAGGCAGGTCTTCACCTGTCAGCAGATGCTCCTCGGCCTCTCTGTGGGTCTGGTAGAGAGCTCATGCTCAGTATATGCACATACCTCCACTGCCAGCCTTCTTACCCCAGAACTGCTCCTTCCCCATCTCAGAAAATCAGTTTCCTCTTTCTAGTAGCTCAGGCAAAACCCAACAAAACAGCAACCCTCTCTCACCTCATGTGCAGCTGATGGGATGTTGTGTCTGTATCCTCTAAAATACAACCCAGCGTTTGGTCATGTCTCCCTACTGTTCTGTCCCCTCCTGTCCTGAGCCACAAGATACAAAAGCTCCTAGTCTGTCCCCAAGTCAGCCAGATGATCCTTTAGAAAAAATTGTATCCCCCTATGTTCCCTCTGAGGTTAGTCCGCACTCAGCACTTTCCTCCTGCCTTCTCACGTCACTCCCTTCTCCGAGCTCTGGAGAAAGTACCCTAAATCCACTTTTCAGTGTATTGACTCTGTCACTCCTTTCAAGCACATATTGCTAAGTGTCGCTTTTCTCATGTCTGGAAGAGGAGTATTGCTCTGGTACGTTAGTAACAGAGTAGTAGAGATAGTCCATATAGTGTCTATTTACCTTTTTTTTTTTTTTTTTTAAACTGGCCTGTGTACCCAAGCTGAGCCGCTTGCTTTCTGTTGATCTTCCGAGTCCTGTTTAAAAATTCTGGTTCCTGCTGCAGTATAATTCACCCTTTGGAGTTGTTTTAAAACAGGTTTTCCTCTGAGGTTTTCAGACCAGTTGGATGGTGGGATTTTTTTAAATAAAGCAGCTCTTGGTAGAGGCAGTTGAAATTTGTATCTGATCCAAAGCCCCATGTCAGCATTCTGCCCAGAACTCAGTGACCACATCGTCCTGGGTTCAGTCTGTGCTGTGCTTTGTAGCCCCTAGTGTGGGTGAAATCTGCCCTTCTTGACTGAGGAAGACCTGGGCTGCATCCTACCACCTCCTGCTGGCCCAGCCAGGTTGGAGGACAGGACACACCAGCAGGGTTGTGTTTGGAGAGGGAGGAGGGGCTGAGATTGCCTGGGTTTCAGCCCTGTTCCCCGTGTAGCAGTCTGTGCCTCAGTTACCCTTGGAGCCTGGTGGCCTCATCTGACCAACGGACATGTTGCTGTCTGAATCTGCCCTTCAGGCAGCAGCTGGCAGCTGGCACAGAATTCCACCAAGAGGGGACTGCTCTCCATGGGCCCCGTATTTCCTGAATAAATGGCCCTGTGGTGAAACTTCTGCGGTCACTGCTTCCCCTTCATTTTCCTCCCCTCACTTGCCAGGAATTCTGAAGCTGATTCAAATTTGCCAGCTGGGGCAATCCAGCCTCTTCACCTGCTCTTTGAAAGTATTCTAAATGTACCTCCTCACTGCATTTTGCAGAAATCAGCAGTCATACCACATTCCACAAGGCTGGTTTCTTCCTGAAACTTTGTCACCGTCTCTAAGTCTGCGCCTGCAGGGCTGTGGCCACCAGTGTTGATGTGCTGGGGGCATTAGCCCTTCCCCTGAGATGGGGAGTAGCTACTTTACCAGCACATGCCTTCCCCAGAAGCAAGGCCCCAGGGGCCAAGGATTGGCCATAGCAAGCCCCACTGGGCCCTAAGGCAGCTGCCTGGCTGTGGAGGAGGCCCCATCCCTATGGTAGGTCCTGTCCCTTCCAGCTGTGCTTGTCCTTTGAGTGGTGGGGGAGAGTTTCAGCAGGTCCCCCCAGAGTGGCCTACCAGAGGCACAGACCAGGCTGTTGGTTCTGAGCCTGGGGTTGGCAGTGTTCCAGCCCCTGGGCTTCAGAGTGAGTTGTCCCGACACTGCACACACTGCACAAGCCTGCGGATTCCCCGGCCCTCTACTGGGGGGCCTCTGTGGGCATGGGGCTCTGCTCTGGCACCCCATAATTTGCTTGTTTTATACCAGTGATGATGAAGTGAGGCTATTTAGCACCACCTCACCAGCCTGGTTACCTAGTGCACAGTGATCTTGTCGGCTCCCCCTATCTGTGGGCAGTTGGGAAGAAGGACTACTTCACACAGGTTCTGGGACTCACATGAGCTTCATGAATAAGATCTCAGCACTTACCCTGTGGGGAGAACCCCCCCCTACACACACACCAGGATGGAACAGAGGTGGAATGGGGAAATGTGGGTGCTCAGAGTGCAGGATTGGGGAACACATCATGCAGTGGGGGTACATTCTCCCTGTCTGTAAGGTGAGGGACACCTTACCCTCACTCCCAGTGGGCACCAGGCCAGACTGGGAACTTGTCCTTCAAGGGCAGAATTTCCCCAGACTCCAGTGGGGGCCCTCTTTGCCAGAGATCATGGTATCCCCTCATCTTCCACCTAGACAGGCTTCTCAGTCCTGGGGGCACACACACCTATTGGCCAAGGCAGCCGCAGAATCGCTCCTTTTGTCCAATTCCCAGATGTTTGGGGAGCTCCTGTTTCAGGCTCTGCTCAAAGGAAAGATGATCCACCCCTCCCACAATAACAGACGCTCAGGGCCATGGCTTGCCTGCAGTCTCATGGGGAGGCAGGACGGACAACACTCAGTGAGCAGGCTGAAGGGGTTTGTGGTCAAGGCATCTCAGAAAGAGAAACCTAGCACTTTAGTCTAAGAGGCACATGGAAGCATCCTTTGCTTCCCTGTGGGGCGGTGAAGAGATGACAGGGAGGTGGATGCGGGGGTGGGGAGGTGTGGGTGAGAGCAGGGGCTTGGGGGTCATATGAAGGTGGCCGAGGCCAAACAGTTGCTACAGGATAGGCTGCAGGTGCAGGCCGGGATGCCAGGAGGGGTTGGGGGCAGATGAAGGCCAAGCCATAGGGAGTAGCCCTGCCCTCCATCTAGATGGAGTGGGGAACACCCCAGGGAGCCATGGGGAGACCTGCTCTGTTCAACCCTTTTGGGCTGCCTGTAGGAGCAGGTGTCAGTGCCATGCTGGTCTAAGGTATGCAGAGGGGCTGCTCTGCCTCCTACACCAGGAGCGAGAAGCAGCTGTTCCCACTTTCCTTCCTGTCGTTCTAAGTCCTGTTGGGACTTAGGTGGCCTGTTGGGGCAGGGCCTCCTTTAAGGATGTTTTGAGCGAGTCAGCTCAGGAATGTGTCCTGTACATGATGACATGGCCCTTTGGTTGTCCTGTGCTGCCCCCAGCCTCCCAGAAGGTGGGCTCTGGGACTGGGTATGCCCAGCCCTGTCTAGAAGAGGCCCCGTAGGTTGTTCACTGGTGAGGGGACTGAGGCACTGGGTGCCCTGCCTGCATGGACACAGATGGAGCCCGGAGGCCTCGAGGGTAGGCACACCACAGGTGTGAATTGGGACTCTGAGGGGTTCACATGGTGCTCTTCCCACCGGCTGATGTGGTGGACATGGCTGCTGACCGTCCTGAGGAAAATTGGCACTTTGGGGAATTCTACTAGAGCCTGGCAGCTAAATTCCTTTCTGTCCCCTGCTGAACTCTCACAGTCTTGTTTCTGGTGTTCTACCCTGTTGGAACGTTGAGACCCAGACTTGGTTGTGAAATGCCTGCAGCCTCCCTGCAGACAGACATCACTGCTTGTCCTCCCTCCTGTCTCTGTGAGGGTTAACTGCACTTCATCTTGTTGTCTGGAACCGGTTCAGACTAGTTTTCTGGAAAGTGCTTTGTCTCCGACTGAATCCTGGGAAGGGTCATGTGGAGCCCAGTGATGTCATGGGATCAAAAACTGACTCAGCTGTTTTTTTTTTTCTTGTCTTCTTTAAATCAAGATATGTGTGTGCTGCAGGTACAGGGTGCTGGCACCGTGACGGGCCAGGCCTCACCCTGCTCAAAGTTTGCCTCACTGGCAGTCAAAGGGTTAAATGTTAGCCCTAGTCCTAACCCCCCTGAGGTGAGCAGGGAGTAAGGAGGCCACCCTCACTGAAGGGGAGAGGGGTCAAGGGTCAGCTTGAGTTTTTACCTTGCAGGACTGGACCTGGGCGGTGACCTTGCTCCTGGGACAGCTTGGTCCCCTTTCCTGGATTTCAGATTCCTCCAGGGAGTTAAATTTTCTTCTGTTTGCTTTGAGTCTGAAGCACCAGGAATTCCCTTTCTTTCTTAAAAACAGCCACCTTCCATTGTTTCTGTCCAGGACCCTGAGATCTTAGCTCCCCAGGCGCCCCACCACTCCTGTCCCAGCCTTCCCCAGGGCAGGGAAGAAGTGTTCTGGCACACTTTATGGGCTCTCCCTGCATTTGTTGTACTTATGTCTACCATTGTCATGTGGCGAGGAAAATACTCCAAGCTGACACTGAAAAGTTTCTAAGAAGGTAGCAAGCAACTGTTGTGTCAAGTTTAAATGTCTTGTTTTCTTCTTCCCCAAAGTTCAGAATGACAGAAGAAGCATGCCGAACACGGAGTCAGAAACGAGCACTCGAACAGGATCCAGCTGAGGACGATGTGGAGAGCAAGAAAATAAAAATGGAGAGAGGATCGTTGGCTACAGATTTAAACACTGATGGAGACATGAGAGTGACGCCCGAGCCGGGAGGCCCAGCCCAAGGATTGCTGAGGGGGGCCGAGGCGACGGCCGTGAGCAGAGGCGAAGAGCAGGCCGGTGACGGGCCTGTGGACATGCGCACCTCACACAGGTGAGTGGGAGTGGACAGGAACCAGGACAGGCCCAGGTGTGAGGAGGTGGGCTCAAGGCTGTACCACTGCCCCCATCCCCACCCCTGGGCTGCAGAAAGCAGGTTTTGGTGGTTACCGTGTAGGTGGCTGTGGACCTTAGCCCTGGCATCACTGTGCCATCCTGGCTGAGGGACCTTCCTTCTGGGGCATGGGCATCACTGGCACAGGGTGTGGGTTTCATAGGAGGGGGAGTAGTATCTTCTCTCTGCTCTCCTACTGTCTGTTCAACTCAGTACTTTGGTTTACAGGAAAACTTGAGGTTTTCATTTGTTCATGCCTTCCTGCTTTTCCGATGTGGGGCTCAGTCAGCCAGGGATGCTATGCCTTACCTGGGTCTCTTGGCTGTGGGCAGAGCCAGGAGCCCCAGCCTCTCACACATGCCACCGCTCCTCATAGGCAGCTCATCTTGGAGGAGGTGCCACACCAAGAAGAGGTCTTCCATAGCATGCTCTGTTGGTTTCTTCTTAGTCGATACTGATTACTTGAAGGGTAATTTTCCTCTTCTGGCTTGTGTGGCTTGGTTAGTTGGAGCGTCATCCCATATACCGAAATGTTGTGGGTTCAGTCCCTGGCCGTGGTGCATACTGGAGGCAGCCAGTCAGTGTTTCTCCCCGTACCCACCTTCTTCTCACTCTAAAAAAAAAAAAAGAAAAAATGTCCTCATGTGAGGATTTTTTTTTAAAGATTTTCTTTATTTTTAGAGAGAGAGGAAGGGAAGGAGAAAGAGTTTGAGAAACATCAATGTGTGGTTGCTTCTTGTGTTCCCCCTACTTGGGGCCTGGCCTGCAACCCAGGCATGTACCCTTACTGGGAATTGAACCGGTGACCCTTTGGTTCGCTGGCCGGTGCCCAGTCCACTGGGCTACGCCAGCCAGGGCTGAGGATTTTTAAAATAACTTCCCTGATCTTCAGCTTCTGTGATGCTCTTAAGGAAACGGTTTGAAGGAAATATTCAGTGTACTGCCCTGTTTCTTCCTTAGAAACCTTTCTCCCTGTAAAGAGAAATTCAGCCTTAGCTCCTGCTGTCGCCCCTCTCCCATCAGAGCTCTGGTGAAAGCAGTTTTCTCCAGAATGTTCACACCCAGATGTCTCCTGGCATTTCACCTTGGGCATGTGGGTGTGGCTACCCAGCCAGCTTCCCAGGCAGCCCCACAGCCCCTTTGTGGTCTATCCGTTGTCTACCTCACTGCCTCCCTTTCAGATTCCCCTTCACATCGGGTTGCCCGGGTGAGGGTGGAGGATAAGAGGTGAAGAACTGAGAAAACTTGGGAGCTTCTTGTTTTCTTGTGTCAGCTGACCCCCCGGAGGGGCCTCAGCCTATAGCCTTTGTATTAAATTCATTTTGGAACCCAGTTTGTTGGTATCCTTGTCATTGAAAATTCTTACCTCCTTGAGCTAAATGGGAAAATCCAAACCCTCCTTTTGGAAAACTATCTCAGTCTTGGGGTATGGGGTATGCTTTGTCTTTCTACTATCCAGAAAGGCCTTTTCTATCTGGTTCTGTTTTCTGCAGCCACTGTTCTAAAGCCAGAGGCCTCTTCAGAAGTTCCAGAAATAAAATTGTAACTTTCTCTCTGACTTGATCCTCAGCAATGTCTGAGATTGTGAGGATAAGAAGGAACTTGAGTTTGTAGAGGTCTGCTGGGCTCCTGATGTATATTTTTTCTTGAAATCACCATGCTGCTCTGTAGGGCAGGCCATTGAATTGTGAGAGAGAGGTTAAGTGTTGAAGGAGCTCAGAGCTGAATCTCAAACTCAGATCTTTCTATACCAAAACCTGCCTGCAGTTGGCTTCTGGGCCTCTTGTTCCCAGATTTCCCCCACTGTGCCCATTGGCTTCCAAGCCAAGGGCACTCCGATGATGTGATGTTTTCTGAAGTTGAAGATAATTAATATCTTTATGACACAATAAAGGACTCAAAAGGAGCAACGGACAGAGATTAACCGAGCCGCACAGGACAGGGTCCGCCTGCAGGACTCGAGACACCCCAGGGCATTGTGGAGCCATGTGAGTGTGGAAGGAGCTTGGCTTTAAAGGCCAATAGGCAAAGATTTCACAGCACCAGTCCAGGTGACTGTGAGGGTATACTTATTAAAGCTGGGGACAGTGTAACAAAGAAAGGCTTGGCATAAAAGAAGCAACGGAAGACCCCAAGCTGAGTTGCCTTAATTCGCTGGGAAGTCAGGGAAAAGGGGGCCTTGGGGACAGGTTCGGGGGATTAGCCTGGGACAAGCTGCTGCTGTCCGTTGCTCCCCTGATTGCAGGTCTCAGGGTTCCTTAGAGTTTAGGAGATGGCTGCTTGTTGGGGAAGAAGTGAGGGAGGAAGAGGGAAAGGGAATGGCGTGGGCTGCCCCTCAGAGGTAGAGTGCCTGTGCACTGGGTCCTTTGTCTGGAGTTTTTATTTCTCTGTAGCAGGCAGGAATCTTAGGGGAGGTCTCAAGGGAGGATTTCAGCAGAATATCTGTCAGTTCTCCGGGTGTGTTTTTTCAGGGCTGTGGTCTCCTCTGATTGGCATTCTTAGTCATTACAGCTGGTCCTTACGTCACCCACCTGGTTTTGCTGCTTTTCTGGTCCTGGAGCTGAGATACAGCTGAGGCCTAGATGTTATCTCTAGGGAGGTAACCTGCTCAGCCATTTTGTTCAGCTATTGGTCTCAGTTCTTCTACTCGACTTGTCCTGGCTTACTGGTCTGTCTCAAAATCACACTCCCTGACGGATCTTGGGCAGATGATCTTTGTCTGTGCTTCTTCATTTGTAAAATGGGCAGTAATCTCTGGTGGGTGGTAGATGTGTACCCAGAATGAGCCCTGGAACACAACATATGGTGAGAGGAAAAAGCATTGGCAGCTCTGCCCTTCAGTCTTAAGTGTCACTGAAAATAAGATGTGTATGTAGAGCTAGTGTATCCCTGAGTTCCCACCCTAAATGTTCTATCTACAATAGTTCATTGGTGAAGTATAGTCATGGGTTTTGACAGAATCATAGGATCACGTTCAGCCCAGATCTGTTCTGGAGTGAGTGGCCACAGTTTGTGTTAGAAGCAGGCAGTCTTTGGGTCCTTGTTAAGAGTGTCTGGCTCTGGACATCCTCTGGGAACCTACAACACGCAAACACACAGTTGACCCTTGAATCGTTTGCGGTTTAGAGGCATCAATCCCTTGTGTAGCCAAAAATCTATGCATAACTTTTTAAAAATTACATTTTATTGATTATGCTATTATGGTTGTCCTGATTTTTCTTCCTTTGCTCCCCTCTACCTGGCACCCCCCCACTCCCTCAGGCAAGACGCCCACCCTTGTTCACGTCCGTGGGTCATGCATGTAAGTTCTTTGGCTGCTCTCTTTCCTATACTGTACGTTACTTCCCCATGGCCATTCTGTAACTACCTATTTGTACTTCCTAATCCCCTCACCTCTCACTAATTCTCCCACAGCCCCCACTCCTCTTTTTCTTTAACCTTTGGCATGTTAACTATGATGTGTCTTGGGGTGGGCCTCTTTGCCTCCATGTTGTTGTTTTTTTTTTGTTTTGTTTTGTTTTGTTTTAAGATTTTATATTTAGAGATGGGAGAGGAAGGGAGAAAGAGAGGGAGAGAAAGATCAATGTGTGGTTGCCTCTTGTGCCCCCTCCCCTGGTATGTACCCTGACTGGGAATGAACCAGCGACCCTTTGGTTCTCAGTCTGGTGCTCAATCCACTGAGCCACACCAGCCAGGGCTCTTTGCCTCCATCTTGTTTGGGACTTTCTGTGCTTCCTGGACTTGCCTGTCTATTTCCTTGACCAAGTTAGGGAAGTTTTCTATCATTTTCTCAAATAGATTTTTAATTTCTTGCTCTTTTTTCCTTCTGGCACCCCTACGAAGCAAATGTTGAATGGCCTAAAGTTGTACCACATACTGCCTAACACTATCCTTAGGGGGTTTTTGGATTCTCTTTTCTTCTTGTTCTGATTGGTTGGTTTTTTGGTTTTTGGGTTTTTTTGCTTCCTTATGTTCCAAATCATTGATTTGATTCTCGACTTCATCTGCTGTACTGTTGTTTTCCTGTAAACCGTTCTTTATTTCAGTTAGTGAATTCTTCATTTCTGACTGGATCTTTTCTTTTTTTATGATCTTAAGGTTCCTCCTCACTGAGTTCCTTGAGCATCCTTATAACCAGTGTTTTGAACTCTGCATCTGATAGGTTGCTTATCTCCATTTAATTTGATTTAATTGTATTTCTGAAGTTTTGATCTGTTCTTTTAATTGGACCATGTTTCTTTGTCTCCTCAAGTTGTTTGCCTTCCTGTATTTGTTTCTATGTGTTAGGTAGAGCTGCTGTGACTCCCTGTCTTCGTAGCATGGCCTAATGTAGTAGGTGTACTCTAGGGTCCAGTGGCACAGCCACCCCTATCTCCCAAGCTGGGTACTCAAGGCACACCCTTCGTGTAGTTGAGCCTCCTCTTATAGTTGAGCCTTCGTTGATGTTGGCAGATCAGTTGGAGGGATTTACCCAGCCCAGTCAGCTGCAAGAACTGGCTGTGACCACTTACCAATCCTTACGGGAGGCCCTGGGGTCTCCTTGGTGGTTCAAGGGGGCCCAAGATCAGCCTCCACCTGTGTTCTGCTTGGGGCCACTGTGCCTGAGTTATAAAGCAATCCGAGATGGCTGCTACTTGTGCTGAGCTTGGAGAGTCCTGGGTGAAGCCAAGCTGTGAATCTAAGCTGCTAGTTCTGGGCCTGGGATTCACTGAGGCCAGCTGCTGCTTATTTGAGATGTAGAAAGTTATGCAGCATGAGCCATGACCAGCTATTCATATGGAAAAGCAGCTTGAGGCCTAGAAGTTGGATGGGGCAAAGTCTTTGGGGATCTCCAAGGCATGTCAAACAGTGTTAGCCAAGTTGCTAGAATGTTAAATATGGCACCAGTCTGAGGGCTCTATGCGGGGAGGGCCCAGAAAAGAGACAATGGCCTCTGTTCG